AGTCTGGACCCACCAGTAGTAACCCAGAGCGGGGGAGCCCTTGCCAGGGCCTGCAGAATCTCTAGAAGCCACATGGGTTTTAGTTCATCACCTGGGCCAGTAAAATGCCATCATACATTAAGAGAGTTTTTTCTGAGTTTAAGCATTTCTAAATACCTTTCCTGGACTGAGAGTGCAGACCGTGTAAAAGTCAGGCACAGAGAGACCATTCTCTGTTTGCAGAGGCATCCTCCCCATCCTCTCTGAGTTTTCACGTTCTGTGACTGGACTTGTGTACCCAGCTGGCAACTGCACCAGCCAGATCCTGAGGTAACTGGCGGCTAGGCCCAATTTTTTTTTTTTTTATTCTTCCTACTCCAGGGCCTACAAATTCTATTTCAAGCCCACGCACGTAGAGAATGTGCAGATGTGGGGATGAAAACCAGGCCCTTTGGGAGAGTGAGGCTGTGATAGTTAACTGTTGGGAGGCCACAAGTGGCCCGTCTTCAGTGGCCTCGCCCCGGTATGGTTGGGGCCCAGACCTCAAGCGTGGTTTTTGCCTTTTGCTATAACATTAGCAACCACACGGGACAGTCGCCACCCCTCCTGTTTGGGACAGTCAACGTCGCATGATCTGTGGTCGCTCAGGCTCTAAAGGTTTTCCCTGCGTTCTGAGGAACATGTAACAGCAGAGATTCTGGACAACTAGCTTCCTTAAGAAACTGAGGGTCAAAAATGGGCCCAGTGGAGAGGAGACGCAGGGCTACTTTGACAAAAAGACTATTCCGGTCACAGAAACAGCTGCTTCAGAATGTATTTCTAAAGTGTATATAAACCAGGGGTGAGGTGACCAGATGGTTTACATCATATGGCAAAAGCTATTATAGCGTGGTAGTCCTCACAAAATGAGACATTCCTTTTGGATGACTAATAAATCATTTATTCATTCATTCAACAAATATTGATTGAGAATCTCCTAGGGAATAGGTACATCATAGGTATTAATGATACAATGGCAAAGAGAACAGAAAAACATTAAAGGGCCAGGCGTAGGCTGGTGGATTACCTGAGCTCACAGGTTCAAGACCAGCCTAAGCCAGAACAAGACCTCGTCTCTAAAAATAGCCAGGCATTGTGGTTGGCACCTATTGTCCCAGCTGTTGGCACCTATAGTCCCAGCTATTTGGGAGGCTGAGGCAAGAGAATTGCTTAAGCCCAGGAGTTTGAGGTTGTTGTGAGCTATGACGCCATAGCACTCTACCAAGGGTGACAAAGCGAGATTCTGTCTCAAAAAAAAGAAAAAGAAAAACACACTGAGATCCCAGCGTGACACATCCTGTACCTTCAATGAATCCCCAACAATAAAAAAAAAAAAAAGAAAAACATTAAAATATATATCCCTGAGCTAGCAAGAGAAACTGGTAATGGACAAAATCAATAATTAAAGTGTGACTTATAAATTATAGTGGGAAATGGTAAAGAATAGAAATAAAACAAGGATGGAGACTGAAATTCTAGATAAGTGGCCAGGGAAGGTCTGCCTGAGAAGCTCGTTTTAATAGAACCAGCTGGTTTCAATGGGTACAGACCTACATTGAAAGTCCCCCAGATTTTCAAAAAATGTTTTTCCATTATCTCTTGGTTTCTGGCACGGCTATTGAGAAAGCTAATGCTTTTCTGTTACCTGATGTCACTTTTTTACTCCCTCTAAAAGCTTTTAGGACCTTCTGTTTTTCCTGTCTTCTAGAATGTTCAGTGACAAGCTTGAGTGTGTTCAGCATTTCATGAACCTTTTCAGTCTGCAATCTCATGTCCTTCAGTTTAGGGGATGGGGTGAAAGCACATTCTTCATTCTTACAATGTTTGGGAGGGGAACTTCTCTGTTTTTCCCTGATCCCTTTTACTCAGATCTCCATTGCTAGGGGGCCATTGTCATTCTGTATTTTTCTTATTTCTCTCCTCTCTCTCTCTTCCTATCCCTCAGTCTTTTTGCTCCCCTTTTTGCAATTTCATCAACTTTTTCTTCTTCAGTGAAATTTTTAATTCTGCTCTCAGGGTTCCCAGAACTGGCCCTTATGCTCCAGACATTCCCCCTTCCCCGGGCTGTTTCTGAGTTTCTGTTGCCTGTTCCTTTGGGTGTTTTTGTTCATGCTAGAAGCTTTTGTAAAATGTCTGAGAATCCTTGGGAGTCTGTTAAGGGGCAAGCAAGGCACAGTCGTACTAACTGGAAGCTTTTATATGTGGTTGGGCTGCTTCCCTGTGGGGGTGGCCGGACGGAACCCAAACATCACCCTCAAAAATCTGTTGGTCTGTTCTCATAGGCTAGTCAGCTTTCTTCCAGGGGACCTCCAGTGTCCTGGCCGAGGGGGCAACCCCTTCACTTGCACTCTGTCTGAGGGCACCTCACCCTGCTCCCCTTGGCCTAGTCAGCCCTAGATGCTAGGAGGGCGGAGTCGGAGAGAGAGAGACATGGACATTTTGCTGCATCTCTTAAAAAATGAAAGTTCAATCTAGCCTTATGCCTCCTGCTAACTCTGCATTCCTACCTTCAGAAAGATCTGGTGCCTCATTTCCTGAGCTTCCCTGCCCCTGAATGTTTTCCTGTTGATTTATTTTGGACACAAGGTCTCCCTCTGTCACCCGGGCTAGAGTGCAGTGGCATCATCATAGCTCACTGCAACCTCAAACTCCTGGACTCAAGTGATCCTCCTTCCTCAGCCTCCTGAGTAGCTGGGACTACAGGTGCCTGCCACCACACCTAGCTTATTTTAGAGACAAGGTGTCGCCCTTGCTCAGGCTGAGTGTATATTTTATGTTGAATTCTTCCCTCAAAGACTTAGGTGTCTGCTTCCTCTCCTCTGTTATTGCTTCCTTTTTCATTCCTTTAATTCTTTGATGTATGCTCTTTATTCCTTATGGTCATTCTAATGGAATTTCTGGAGGAAGTAGAGATAAATTTATTACACAAACTGCCATATTTAACCAGAAGTCTGTCTTTCTTTCTTTCTCTTTTTCTGGCTTTTCTTTTCCTTTCTTTTCTTTTCTTCTTCTTCTTTTTTTTTTTTTAATAATTCGCTTTTTAATTAGAGCATGTGTAAATGACAGAACACCACACCTTATGCAGATGGCAGCCACAGAATATGCGTCAAATTCATTTTGCCCAAGGAAGGGAGAGAGGGAGGATGCAGAGGGGCTCGTGAGCTGGTGGCCCTGCTCTCTTGGTCATACAGACAACAGGGTCACCTACTGTCTCCTCCCCTACCCTCTTTTTTAATACAGAGGCTCACCCTGTTGCCCTTGGATTGATTCTGTGGTGTCATAGCTTACAGCAACCTCATACTCTTGAGCTCAAGAAAACCCTTTGCCTCAGCCTCCTGAGTAACTGGGACTACAAGCACTGCCATCACACCTGGCTAATTTTTCTATTTTTAGTAGCAAAGGGGTCTCACTTTGCTCAGGCTGGTCTCGAACTCCTCTAAGCACAGGCAGTCCACCTGCCTCAGCCTCCCTGAGTGCTAGGATTACAGGGGTGAACCACTGCACCCAGCTGAACCAGAAATTGTTCTATGGTCTTTTGAGTCTCTCTTGCCAAAGCCTACCCTAGGGTAGAGTCTCACAAAAAGTAAGATTCAAATTCGATATCAGGAGTGTAGTGTTCTGTTTCAGTTATCTGAGTAACAAGTGACCCTAAGCATAGTGACTACTATCATTTATTTGCTCATGATTATGCAACTGACCAGTGCTTGGAGTGGGCATCTTATTTCTGTTCCATGTGGCATCAGCTGGGCCTGGCTCACATGGAGCTGGGGAATCTGCCCTTGAGATGGTTCATCCCTATAACTGTTCAATGATTGGAAGAGTGGGTGCTTAGCTAGGACGGTCACTCAAGGCTTTGGCTCTTTAACATGTGACCTTCCCATGTGGATAGGTTAGACTTTTCGGAGCAGGTTTCTGCGAGGGAACATCCCAAGACTAAGGTGTCCAAGAAAACCGACTATAGCTCAAGCTCCAGCCATATACATCAGAGCTGGTGGGTTCAAATGGCCTGGCCTGGCCTGGCCTGCCAAACAACGACAACTACAGCCAAAAAAAATAGTCGGGCATTGTGGCGGGTGCCTGTAGTCCCAGCTACTTGGGATGCTGAGGCAAGAGAATCGCTTAAGCTGGGAGCTGGAGGTTGCTGTGAGCTGTGATGCTACAGCACTCTACCCAAGGTGACAGCTTGAGGCTCTGTCTCAAAAAAAAAAAAAAAACCAACTCCAATGTGCAAACCCATATTAAGGGTTCCTTTGGCGTCACACTCACTAATATCTCATTGGCAAAGCAAATCACGTGACCAAGTCCAGACTCAATGTGGGAAGGAACTGCCCTCCACTGGGGTGTGAGTACTTATTTTGGGGCCACATATCCCTTGGAACTCTAAACCTCTGTGATCCTATGCTTGGTAACTCATGCACTCCATTTAATTTCTAAAACACTGGGGGTGCCAGACTCTTTTCTTGTAGATGGTTTAATATGGTATAAACATTCAATAAAATTATGTATTAGGACCACAGAAATACTGTAGCATTTCCACTTCCATTGTTCCCCAATGGACTCCCTAAAGATTTAAGCTGTATAACTTACCTGTAGCTATAACAATTATGTTCCTAGTTAATGAAAAGACATGGACAAAAATCACCCTGTGGGGTCAGATTTCTAAATATACCTTCCAAGGGAATTAAGTATTGTCTTTTGCTCTTGGCTCCCCAGAACATAGCTTCTTTTCCTTTTGATTTTAAAATAGCTGAAAATTAGTCTCTCTTAACACCTGCCTAGACTTCAAAGGATAAAAGTGGGTGTTTAGATGAGAACCCAACCATGCATTCCTTGGAAATTCCAAACACAGGTCTCCTATTACCCGCTTCCCAGGCTTGTGAGGAGCGTTCCTGGGTGTGTGGTTGGAAGGAAGTGGTTCTGCTTGCCATGCCCATCTCGTGAGTCTCGATGGTGGCTGATCACTGGGTTCTCTCTGCACACAGGGGTTCTCTATCTCCAGTACGGAGATGAAACCAAGCAGCTCAGGATGCCGAACGAAATCACAAGTGCAGACACAATCCGTGCTCTCTTCGTAAGTGCCTTTCCGCAGCAGCTCACCATGAAAATGCTGGAGTCGCCCAGTGTTGCCATTTACATCAAAGATGAAAGCAGAAATGTCTATTATGAGCTAAATGATGTGAGGTAAGTCATTCTGGTTTGGGTCCACCATATGACAGGTAGAATTTTATATGGAGGAGAGGGGAGTGTGCTCACTGAACTGCTTCTATTCCAGAGGGATGTTTTGACCTCCATGTTGCTTTGCTAGAGTGTATCCCGAGTCCTAAGAATTCCTCTGTGTCCCAGTAGAGAAAGCCCAGCTGTTACCCTGATGGACAGGCTTATCTCGCTCACAGAAAAACTCACCCTCTGGTTTTCTATAATTTATTTACAAGGCGTAGTTTATAAAGATGGGGACAAACTTCTCCCACACAGATCTTTGACTGTTAGGCCTGAAAAGAACATCAGAAATAATTCGCTTTACCATTTTATGTAAGAGTCAGGGAAACTAAGGCCCAGAGAAGCAGTGGAGAGACTCAGTGAAGGCCGTAAGAGTTGAAAGCAGTGCTTCATACTGGAACGTTCCCTCTTCACTCTCAAGTATTCTTTCTAGACAGAGCCTGGCCAGTTTAGGTAATGATCCTACTGAGTCATTATTTATACCTAACCATTTAGAATAAAAGCAGTGGAACTTTTACTAGTACCCAGGAGAAAAGAGTGAGAAGAGTTCACTTTCCATTTGTTTCTTTTCTTTTCTTTTTTTTGAGACAAAGTCTCTCACTCTGTTACCCTGTGCAGAGTGCTGGGGCACCATAGCTCACAGCAACCTCAAACTCTTAGGTTCAAATGATCCTCTTGCTTCAGCCTCCCACGTAGCTAGAACTACAAGCACCTGACCCAACTCTCAGCTAATTTTTCTTTCTTTTTTTTTTTTTTTTTAGTAGAGATGGGATCTCACTCTTGCTCAGGCTGGTCTCAACCTCCTGAACTCAAGTGATCCACCCACCTCAGCCTCCCAGAGTGCTAGGACTACAAGCATGAGCCACCATGCCCAGCTTCCATTAGTTTCTTAAACAGTTCTTCTTTACCTGAGGATTTCACTTTCTGCAAGGCTTCCAGCTGAATTGCCCCTAACTTGAAGCTAAATGGACTCAAGCTATTGCGACTAGCATAGAAACAAAAGCATTTTTATTGGCGATTGTGGTGCTGTCTGTAGAACAGAAGGGACCTATTTGATCTGTCCTAGGAAACAACCTGTGAAACAGGACTTAAATCAACACACACGGCAGTTGCTAGTGTAGCCTCCAAACATTTCAGAACTCCAAAGGTTATTCAGTGACTAATCCAGCCCTTTCATTTTATAGAACCAGAATCCTAAATGCATAAAAATTAAAGAACTTATCCAAAAGCACACAGCCAACTCAGTACCAAACTCAGCTCCAAACCTAGCTGTGCACATTCTTGGTCAAGTCCATTTGTGGTCCTTTAAAATGTTCTCTCACCAAACCACTGGGCACAGCCCTTGGGGTTTTCTGCATCCCTGCCCCGTGGGCACAGCAAGCTGCCCTGTTTCTTCATTGTGGAATAAATGGGTACCACTTTTGTAAAATGTGCCTCCAGTGCCTAATAAATGTAAACCGATAAGTATCTAGCAATGATCACAAATGACATTTTTAGGCATGTGTCCAGGTGTATGAGTAATTTAGAGCTTTCAAAGTTTGACACATGCCCCAAGGTATAGTTGCTACATCTGTTGCACAACCTTCCTGCTCTTTAAAAACATGTTTAAATATTCATGGGTATCAGAAAATTCATGTTTGTTTTTGAAATAAATTATGAATCAAGCTGTCACCAGAGGAAAATTTTTTTTTTTTTTTTTGCATTTTACAAAGCATAAACTTGAAACGTGAAACAACCACAATGTATTTAAGGAGTGTGTTTGCAGTAATATAATCCCATGCAGTGTTTTTACATGGAGAGGCTGTTTAACAGCAATCGTCTTATATTTCTGCATCTGCAGTTAGGAGAAGCAAGAGACACGGTGCTGATCAGTAAGCGTGAAACTAAGCAGAGCCACACTTGATCATGGAGCTCAAGGCTGATGAGCTTATTATGAATAATTGGACCCCACTATCTTGCAGCCTGTGCAAGGATTTTTGTCTCACAATGAATCACTGTTTTTTCGAGCCTTTCCCAAGGCTCAAAGTATTTCTACTTTTGACTTCCTATCTGCCTTCTTTGGGACTGTTAAGAAGTATACACAAAGAGAAAAAAGGGAGATAGGACAAGGAGGGAAGGCCGGAGTCCCCCGCAGTGGAAGTCCAGTTGATCAAATAGGAAGGGTGTCCAACTTTTATTTTTTTCCTCCACTGTCTATTAGAAAAGTTGTCTTGGGCCACACATTAAATACACAAACACTAATGAAAGCTACTTAGCAAAAAAAAAAAAAAAGAAGAAGAAGAAGAAGAAGAAGAAAAAAGTTCATGCATACTTTCCAAGATATCCAACACCACAGTAAAGCAAAAAAATCCTCATAAAATCAGCCTATGGCCCATGGGCCATGGGTTGGACACCCCTACAAAGATTAATTCTTAATTTATGTGTTTATATTTGCAAAAATCATGATCTCCTTGATCCTTAAGCTGGGGCACTGACAGCCTTATTTTTTTTATGTCATTTGAAATGTGTAAGTGGACAGTCATTGATTTTTAACTCTGTCACTTGACTTTTCCCTTACTTCAGTTTAAATCTAGAAAAGGGGCCTAACCAATGTCCAAATGTAGAAAATGCTTTGATTTGGTCCTGGATATAGTGTTTATGCGAAATGAGCATGTGCATGTCCTTTTCAAAGAATTATCCTATTTCTTTACTTTTATGCATAAAATGCCTCAATTACATTTTTATTTGAATGATAGAAAAACTTCTCACCACTGGCATCACCACATAGCACAAAAATAAGTATTGGGTAGGTTTTAATGGAAGACAATGACTTTAATCTTCTAAATTCAGAGACACATTTCATTTCACATCCTTCAATATTTTTGCAGTGAAAGACTGTTTGCTAAACCCTTGGCTATTTCATCAGTGTCGGGTTCCTTGAATATCCTTTAGGGAAATGCTACTGAGTTCAGGCTGGAATACTGTGCTGTAAACGTTGCCAAGGTAAATGCAATCCAGGCCTTTGTTGTTAGTTCATCTCCAATAAACATGTTTCTAAAACATCCTAAAACAACCTCCTGGACTTTAAGTACCTTTAAAATGATAGTAATTTTTTTCATGGCTTCAGCGAGGTTTTCCATTTCTTCATAGCCTCACCTGTGACTTCTTCCTCTAGCCAAAGGGTGAGTTCCTGTGACAAATCCCCAGGTCTTTTACCTCCGTGAGTTTCCCCTTCCTATTAACCCAGTTCCTTTTAATAACAAGGGCTACGGGCTCCCCGCCACCCCCAAGCAGACTTCTAACAAGCTGCTTGAAATCCTGCAAGCTTGGGCTAGTCATCGCTTCAAAGCAATTACTGGCAGATATTTAAGAGAGAAACAAGACTAGTCTAAGAATCTTCCACTTCTTTTAAAACAAAAACACACCTAATACTCCCAGTGATTGGGCCAGCCCTCTAAATGAGGTTGCACCTGGAGGAAAGGAATTTTTCCCCCTGCGTACGTTTCTCCCAGCTCGCCAGCCACATCGAAAGGGTTCACACAGTGTAGATGGAGTTGAAAGGGCTGTGGGTGGCCCTTCTGCTGGTGAAAGCTGAACATGGAGGGAGAAGGACTTCATAGACAATTTTAAGGTAAACACTGAGCAACTGTGGGGCTCCTATCTTTGACTGCGGTATAACTCCTTGGCTTTAAGACCTGGGTTCAGAAGGAGAGAAGAATTTATCTGCTGTTATTCCTTCACAACCAGTAATTCAATTTGCATGTAGAAAATGTTTTTGTTTTTTTAAAATCCACTATGAAAAGGAAAAAAAAAGGCATGGTAAAGATACTCATTTTGATCTTTGTGGTCCTCTTTTTTCTTTCTTTCTGGATTGCAGATACATTTCCTTTCCCTGGCTGAAAGTGTTTGAAGGCCAAAAAACAGAAACAAAAAAAGCATTTTTCTTTTGTGTGTGCGTTCATTAGGTGAGCAGGAAGCCAGGTGTTTGGGAAAAGTAAACAATCAGATATTTAAATATTAACCAAATCTCTTTGAATGTATTGTAAATATTGGAGCTTTATTGTTTTTCAAAGCGTAAGCTTTCAGCTCTCGGCATCTTCAAAGTTAGCTCCTGCCGTCCGATATGGATGGGCGGAGGGCTACCCCGAAAATCTAAAACTTTCCTGAGGAATAAGAAAAGGAAGGAAAAGCTGCAGTTGTTTTTCTTCTTTTCCGTTGTTGTATTTGCCTGTTTTATGGTATAAGAACTTGTGGTTGGTTTCGGACAGATAACCGCTGGGTTGTCTGTGGAGGATCCTTAAGGGAAGGCAAAGGAATGGCCAAAGTCAGACTCCTTTCATCTGCCATTGTTATTGATGTTTTTGATTCCAGGAACATTCAAGACAGATCCCTCCTCAAAGTGTACAACAAAGATCCCGCGCATGCATTTAACCACACGCCTAAAACTGTGAATGGAGACATGAGGGTAAGTGTTTCTGTCCTATTTTAAATTTTATTCTGCAAGTCAAATCATTTCTTCCTCTTCTTGTATGTCCTTCTAATGTAATCAGACTCCATTTTCAACCAGGTTTGGGGTGGGGGGACGGTTCTCCATCTCACTCCATGGTACAAGAGTAAGATTTCCCAGTCACTTGGGGCAAAGGAATTGAAACAGGGCTGGACGCATCCTACCTCATCTCTAAACAGGGGGTTAATTATGTCCTCATGCCAAGGAAATTCTAAAAAATCTTCACACAAGAGTCCACGGTCTCTCATACATGAACTTACTCAGAAGATCTTTTGCATTTTTTTTCTCTTGTTAAAATAAAGCAAACATATAAACAAAAAAGTATACAATTAATTGCATGGGGAAATCTACTAATGTTATCACATTAGCAATTCCAAATTTCAAGCATTCTAATTCAATTTCTCACCTTCTCATTCTGAAGTTTTGCTATTGCTCTGTATTAAATACTATCAAATACATTCAAAGCATATAGGGATGTTTTGAAAGAAAATGAAAGGGACACTGAAAAGGTAGATTTTAAGGTCACCTGAACGCAGGTCCTCTAGAAAGGGATTGAGTTTCTAAAAATAATGCTACACTCCTCTGTAACAAAAATGGGAATTAAAAAAAAAAAGATTAGCTTCTCAGCTGTACACCCCCTACACACACACACGAATTTAGAAGATGCTGCACGTTTTTTCTCATCTTTTCTGTGGATTAGCACTTGGCTGAATGTTCAAGTTTAACTAGGAAAAAATAAAATAAAATAATAGGTTTTATTGGCAAAGAAACCCAGGCCCTGTCTGTCCTGAAGTTGTAGTCTTGTTGCTAAATAAGACCATCTCTGCTTCCTGACAGTAAGTATAAGCTTCTGATTGCTGCTGTAACAAATTACAATGAATTTAGTGGCTTATAACAACACAAAGTTATTATCTTATGGTTCTAGAGTCTGTAGACTATCATGAGTCTCAATGATCTGAAATAACGGGTCACTGATGGGCTGTATTCTCTTCTGGAGTCTTATAGAGAGAATCTGATTCCTTCTCTACCCCTCTCCCCACCTTCTAGAGGTCACCACATTTCTTAGGTTGTAGTTCTTTTCCTCTCTCTTCAAACCTAGCAAAATAGCATCCCTGTGACCCTGCTTCTGTGGTCATATAGCTAAGCTTCCCTCTTCTTCACTTCTAGAGACATTTGTGATTACAGTGGGCCTATCCAATACTTGAGAAAAATCCTTCTATCTTAAGGTCAGTGGATTAGCAATCTTTAATCTCCCTTTTCCTCATAACCCCTAAAGCACTCATGGGTTTAGGAGATTATAATGCAGGTCATCTCTGGATGACCACCACTCTGCCTTCCACACAGGATATGTGAGTTTAGGACCAAGGAAGAGGCCAGGAGGGCCACCTGGACATACCTGGAAGGATTTCTGTGTAATTCTGGACTAGACTAGCAGTGACAATGTTATGGGTTCTGAGCCTGCACTTTTGGAGGAAAGGCCTCTCTGGTATTCAATTGCTGCTTTTTCATGTCAGAAAGGTTTGAAGTGAGGGATGTGTTGCCATTTCAAAAGAAAAAACCATCTAGGATTTTCAGGCTCATTTACCTGATTATATTCTAAATGTAAACCAGCGGCTTGGCACCTGTAACTCAGCGGCTAGGGCACCAGCCACATACACCGGAGCTGGCAGGTTCGAATCCAGCCCGAGCCAGCCAGACAACGATGACAACTACGACCAAAAATAGCCAAGCATTGTGGCAGGTGCCTATAGTCCCAGCTACTTGGGAGGCTGAGGCAAGAGAATCGCTTAAGGCAAGAGTTTGAGATTGCTGTGAGCTGTGATGCCACTGCACTCTACCCAGGGTGACAGCTTGAGACTCTTGTCTCTAAATAAATAAATAAAATGTAAACTAGAGCTGCATGAAAACAGATTGTGTCATGCCAGTGATGAAGCAGGAACTAAATATCATGGCACCCTTTGCCTTTTATTACTTGATTATTCTTCTCAGGGGCATCCATGAGAGCCTTTGCTGCCTTACATGGCTTTATTTGTTGATGTGTCCCTCCTTTGGGCTGGAGTTCATGGTGTTGAGAATTCTCTTTCTTTCCATCACCTAAAGCCATCTCCACCCAGGTGTCCCAGAATCTGAGAATCTTGTTTATGGCTGGGAAGGCAACCTGCCTTCACTCTCAAACAGATGTGGAATCCAACATAAGGACCAGCTCTGGGGTTGAGAGGATTAAATATTCACCCTACAAACAAACCCGACCAGAATGCAGAACTTGCACTGCAGGTTTCAACAAAATCATTCTATTTTTGCTTTACGATGAGACCCTCAGAAGACCCCTCTTCTGAGCAGCCCACTTTAGACACCAGTTTTTCTGTTTGAGAAAATCAGCCATTGTCCCAGATAAGAGGACCACAAATGTTCACCCTCCAACCAACAGAAAAGCTTTTAAGTCTCAGCAAAGGCTGCTTAGAAATGAGAAATAGGAAATAGAAAGTGGTTTCAAAATCAAGTAGGTGTGATCAGAGCTGCCGTTTGCAACTTGGTCCCTATTCACAGATTCCAGATGCTAAAAGGCGTGGAATTCATTTGGCCTCCCCTTCCCGCTCTGGAGGTTGGAATGTTTTCCCCTTTCCCAATGAATGTGGCTGCATTGCCATTAGAGGACAGGAAATTTGGTTGATCTCTGCCTGGAGCCCAGCTGCACAACCCTGCTGCTTCTGGTAAAGAAGAGAAACAGGAACAGAGCAAGGATCAATTGTTACAGACTAAACCACACGGCATGATGGGCTGCGGGGAGCGCCAGCCTCCCGTATGTTTGCAATGTGAGCGTAGCCGGGAAGGAATTTGATGTTAACTACTCGGTCACTGCCACCTTACCCCTGGTGTCAAACCTCACTCCCCAGCCTCCAGAAACCACCTGGGGTAGACCTCCCCTCCACCCTGCACCGTGCACTTATTACCAAGAAGCACGTATCATGAAAAATGTTGGTTGGAACAGGCAGAGAAGTGGCAAAAACAGCCACACCAGAGCTCCGCACAGGCCTTAAACAATGAATTTAACATCTTGCCTTTGAAAGAAAAGAAAACATAAGACTCTGTATCTACAGCAGTCTGTCCTCCCAGAGTGGGCTGTGATGGCAGTGGTGTGAGCCTGGACCTCGGGGTGTACACGGAATTCAGCTGCGCATTTCTGTGGCTCATCTGTCTAGATGAGACTTTGTGCTTCTCGGCTGGAATTCAGCCTGATTCTTTTTTTTTGGTTGCAGTTTGGCTGGGGCCAGGTTTGAACCCGCCGCCCTTGGTATACGGGGCCAGCGCCCTCCTCACCGAGCCACAGGTGCCGCCGTCAGCCTGATTCTTTGCATATCTCCCTGGTCTAATTTCACGGCGTGGCTTTTGTTTCCCTGCATCAGATAGGAGCTTTGATTGTTCATTTCCTGAGGGACGGAGCTCCCCAGATGGGACAGGCCCTTTTGCAGAATTTATGTGCCTGCTCACAGGGTTTCTAATTCACAGATGTACAACTCAAAGAGGAGATGTTTCATTTGGGGGCTCTCAAAAGGGATGGCTTTTTTTTTTTTTTTTTTTTTTTTTTGTGCCAGTGCTTTGTTGAAGGAATTAGGCAGTTGTCCCGTTGAAGAGAGACTTCCTTTTCATCACCAAACCTGGTGGGTTTTTCCTCGCTTGGGGGTTTCTACACCTTCTTTTATACTTGAAGATCATGTCCCAACTGTTTCTGTTGTCATTTAATACTTGCCTCCACCTCTTCTTTAATCTCACTTAGATGCAGACACTTGCCTGATTTGCATTTTGAACATACTCGCTGAAACCATCGGTGTGCACTACACCCTGTGTCTCAGTCCCTTGCCTCCCTGCAAACACATCTCGGCCTCCTGCATTTACTAACTCTTTTCAATTGACCCTTAAATAGTTTTCAGTGTGGCTTTACCAGTTTGGGATTTGGCTTGCTTATTTTTAATTTGTCCTTTTTTTATCCAAAGTTTTGTACTTCTGATTTTTACCTCTCTGCTTATCAATGTGAATGACCCTTGGAACTATATCCTTTTTTTTTCTTTTTTTTTTTTGGCCAGGGCTGGGTTTGAACCCGCCACCTCCGGCATATGGGGCCAGCACCCTACCCTGTTGAGCCACAGGTGCCACCCGGAACTATATCCTTAGTTCTGCCATATCTAGAATTCAAGGCCCAAATGCCCCACTACTTTTTATTTTTTATTTTTTTAGGAGACAGAGTCTTGCTGTGTCACCCAGGCTGGAGTGCCATGGTGTGGTCATAGTTCACTGCAGCCTGAACTCCTGGGTTCATGTGTTTCAGCCTCACATACAGCTGGGACTACAACTGTGCACCACCAGACCTAGCTGATTTTTCTGTTTTTTGTAGAGACAGGGTCTCACTGTGTTGCCCAGGCTGGTCTTAAACTCCTGGCATCAAGCAATCCTCCTTGCCTCAGCCAAATGTCCAACTTCTTTTCTTTTTCTTTCTTTTTTCTTTTTTTAGAGACAGAGTCTTACTCTGTCACCCTCAGTAGAGTACCGTGGCATCACAGCTCACAGCAGCCTCTAGCTCTTGGGCTTAGGCACCCTACTAGCTGGGATTACAGGCACCCCCCACAACGCCCGGCTATTTTTTGTTGCAGTTTGGCCAGGGCCAGGTTTGAACCCGCCACCCTCAGTATATGGAGCCAGCACCCTACTCACTGAGCCACAGGCGCCACCCAAAATGTCCAACTTCTAATTGGCTGTCTGTCTTCATGCGGATATTCTTCCAGTGTTTCCAGTGTATCCTTCTGAAGAATTAGTTTCTAATCTTTTCCCTTCAAGTCTTTTTTTAAATTTCGGAATATTATGGGGGTACAGACATTTTGTTTATATAAGTTGCTTTTGTATCATTCAAGTCAAAGTTGCAAATGTGCCCATCACTCAGACAGCATGGGCGTGAATTTGTCTAT